TATGTCTGTGTGAATCGAGAGAGAAATTAATATTCTTCCTTTGCTGCCTATTAATGAAGGGAATATCTATCAACATAAAACCTCCGGTTTACAACATCAACAAAAACGTGTCTCCTCTCCTTTGTGAATCAGATAAAGATAGCAACAATCGAAGAAGAGCTTGAGATGGGTCACCACCACGACGATGGTGATGGCGTCCCTCAACATGTCAATAGCCCTCGTTTCTCCTGTCCTATGACTCGCCGTGCTCGATCTTTCAAACGTGGCGGCTCTGGTGGCACCCAACAACGTCGGCGTCTAGTGACAACAATTCCAACTCAAGCTCTAGAGTTCATCACGAGATCGATCTACACCTCTCACCTAGATCAGAGATCGGTTCTGGTTCAAGTCCGGATCTTCAAACGACTGGGTTTGATTCTTCAGCTCTCAATCAAAAACATCAGACGTGTGGTCAGTTGAGAGAGAGATTAGTGAAAGGTTTGTTGAGGAAGCTGATGGGCTCGGTTGTTACGGATTTTAGTTTGAGAGTGAAGAAGAAACTTGGCCATTGGATGTTCTTTGTATTATGTGGTTGGTTTGGATCATCAATCTCTATTAATGGAACATCAATCTCTATTAATGAAGGTAATTTCTTCGAATTGGGTATCTATACCTCTTAGATTCTTTGAATTGGGTATTTGATTCTTCGAATTGGGTATATAAAACTCAATTGTTCTTTGATTCATGTGGTCGGTATTGTGTGGTTAGGTTTTCGTGGTTAATGCAAATGTTTTCATCTTCTATACTCTATTTCAATTTGGAGAAACAAGTTTCGATTTGGACTCAATAGACATGTAACTTTACTAGATCTTATACTCTGTTTCCGTCTCAAATTCATTAAAAACTCAAAGAATCTTGGAATTGTGCAACTGATATTTATTCACAAGGTGGTGGATGGATCAAAGATTAGAAGCTTCGTTAAATGATCATGGACATTATGTTGTGGATAATGCATCTTGGAATTTTGTCATAGATAATGCATCGTGGATACTGCATCGTGGATACAAATGCAACCATCCCATTTGAGCATAACATAAGACATTGAAACAAAGCTTCTTTTTTTTCCAAGATCATCAACAAATAATAGGCGTCCATCTATGGGATCCACAAGCTAAACAAGAATTTATTGTTAATCATTAATCGTACCCAAAGCTTGCATCATAACGGTTGATGTGAAGATTGCACTGTTTCTTAATTTCAAAAAGATATCAGATTCAATGTTATGTGGTATGGAAGGTAAATTGACCATAAATCACTAACCATAAAAGACTGACCATAAATTACTAACCATAAAATATTAACCATAAATCACTAACCATAGTTTACTAAATTCAGCAAAGTTTGATTCTGTGTTTTGGTTTTTCTATGTGTTTCAGGTTTTGTAATAGTGGTTGTCATAATCGTAGCGTAGTAGGCTGCCAAAACCTTCTTGTTCACAATACCTCCAACCTCCTTCTTCACAGCTAGAAGCTGCTCTCTCTGGTCAGATCCAGAATCCGACGCTCTCTCGCTTCTCCCTCGAAGAATTCAAGCTATTATGATTATCACTGTTGGACCGTCTATGAGACTTTCTCGGAGGTAAACTCTCACCACCACCACCGACGATTCTTGAAGAAGTTGAGTTACATCTCATGAACGGAGATGGAGTTAAGTTCTTGTTAAACCCACATGAATCACGAAACGGAGAAAGGCTTAAAGGAGGTAACGAATCGAAGGAGAAGAAAGAGGAAGGTTGTGACATTGACCATGAATGATTAGCTCCGACCGGGTTCGGGTTGGGGTTGAAACCGGGTTGTCGGGATCTGAGAATACGGAGAAGTCGGTGGGAGTACGGCGATTCAAGGTTGAGAGAATTGGGGGAATTGAGGGATGAAAATAGGGTTTATCTGAGGGATATCGAGCTGTTGTTGATTCATGGAAATGGGATGTTTAGGAATCGAAGAAGATGTTTCGAATGATGAATGGAGTCTTTGGATCATTTTAGTGTTATACTTCTTTGTATCACCCATCGCCGGAATTATATCGGAATAATGCAGTGAAAAGTGATAACTCAATCACGAACCAGAGACCGAATTGGAAGAGAGAGAGAGGTAGGGATCTGAGGTTGGTTTCAATTCGATTTTCTTTTTTTTGTTTCATTGGTTTTTGGGATAAGGAAGAAAAAGAGATCGAGGGCAAAACGGGAATTATCAGTCCCTAAACTATAAGAAATGTCTTCACACAATGAAAGTGTCTTTAATGTAACCAAAACATGAGAAAGTGCCATATTGTGTAATCAACTCAAATCATAACTAAAGATATAAATGTTTTTTTTATTTTGTAAACAGTGAATTGTTACATATTTTCGAACGTTTTTAATTAAATGACATTTTTTAAACTTTTTATCAACAAATGGGATTTTTTTGCAAAAATCCCTTGTAAAAATGACACCAAAAAAAATGATATCAATTTCCCCTTTAATATATAGAGGGATATACACACACATCCATTATACTTGTTGGCGGCAAATGAAAGAACACATAGAACGGACCAATGGAAAGA